TTCTCACTTAAAAAATTATACGTAGGAGGCGCTGATTCAATTAGTACGATTGCTTCATTATTGTCATTCAGCCATGTTTCTGTCAGAAATAAAACATCAATATTATGCTCGGTGATGAAATCATTAATTAATAGAGTTTTAGCACAGAGAGATCTGGTGTTTAAAAGAGCCAGTTTAAGTGACTTGGGGGCTGAAAGTTCTTCAGTCTAAGGTTCCTTTAGGGAAGGGATCAGTCTGAGGTTTGAATTAAGACCGCTGCTTTTTGTATTTCTGTTTTTTATAACTTTTCTTGTAGTGATCCGGACAGGTAATGTCCTGTTTTGAGGTGCCGGGGGGCCAGACACATTCTGGAGGAAGACGGGTGTGAAGACAATATCTGGACCCCGACCTCAGACCTTAGAAATACAGAGAGCTGGATCCTCAGGGAGGTCAGAGGCAGGTGGCTTAGATGAAGTGAGGTCTGCTATGTTAGAGCAACGGAGAGACGTGCCGAGGCGAACCTGTTGATCCATACTGTACTGCTGGGAGGAGGAGGAGTCTGTCCGCCTTCCTCTCTGACCCGGATCCTCCACCAGCATCTTCAGGTGGCTTAAGTGCAGCCCAGCTCTCTTTAGTGATTGACTTCCTGGGAAACTCTGATCTTGTGAGTGAGTGTAGGAGCAGAGAGGGAGGGAGTAGGGGAACCAGTCATTCTGTCCCCAGCACTTTGTTTTGGGACACTTTGCTTCTGATAAGCGGAGGGTTCCATCCTAGTCAGACATCCTTGAGCCTGTTCTTCTGAAGCGATGGTCACATTGTTGTTCTTGTTGATAAAATGAAAAATGTTTGCAGTGAGCAGCCTTATCCCATGTTTGTTAAGATTGCGTCCTCCTCTTCCAAAGAGGTGAAAGCGCTGCCAGTAGATCCAGAGGTTATCAATGAAGGTCACTGATCTGGCAGAGCAGGTTTTAATCAGCCATTTGTTTATCATGTCCAGCCTGGAATGTTTTTCGTCTCCCCATTGAGGCGATGGAATTGGACTGCTGAGAAATAACTTTGTTTTTAATTTTCCCATAGTGTCCAGAAGAATATTAAAGTCCTTTTTCAGAATCTCCGATTTTTGCTTTGCCAGATCGTTGGCTCCAACATGCACAACTAAAGTCTCCATGTTTGGCTGATCAGTGGTTAGAGAGAGCACTTTGCGAGTCAAATCAGATACAGTGTCACCAAGAAAAGAAACCACTCTCGTTTTCTTGGGATTGCAAACATGACTGATTCCATTTACTGTCTCATCTCCAACAATAAGCACTCTTGGCATACCTTTTGTTTTCCTGGTGGTCACTTTGTCCTTCGGAGCTTTGTGGGGTGGATGTGTTGGTTTAGCCTCATTGCTGATGTTTGAAGGTGGGTTTTCACTCAGAGGCTCAGGCTGGAGTGCAGAAAATCTGTTTTTCAGTGGGATTCCCACGGAGTCGGAATGTTTTGAGGCTTGGGCTGGTCGCTTTGTCCTTGGGAGCGGGGTCGGTGGAGCCGTTTTGGTTCCAGCTGCTTGTTTGCTGTTCTTTGGCGGAGCAGGTGTTGAAGTTGAAGGTGGGTTTCGGCTCAGAGCCGGCCACGCTGTTTCGTCCAGGTGAGGGGTTCTCCCCGTTAGTCGTCTCATGGGATCTGCAGTGTGAGACTTTTGTTTCGGCTTGGCGCCCTGAGCGATCCAGGGTGAGCTGCTTGGTGCGGGGTGTACGACCTCTCCGCTGATTTGAGGAAGAGTTGTTTCATTTCCACAGGTAGCGTTGATCTCAAAGTTCACCTCCAGCCGTTGAATCTTCGTTTCTAAAAACTGAAGTCGTTGTAGAATACTGCTAATGTCCTTGGGGTCGGACGGGGGCATTTTGCCCTAGTTCAACTTGGAGGTGAAGAAAAGTAAGGTAAAAATAAAAGTGAGAAAATCTCCCGGTCCTTAGGTTTGAAGTAATCCAGTTATGATGTCGATAATGTAAAATAACTATAAAAATTGTGACTTTAAAAATAATTCACAGGCAAAGTTATCAGTAAGGACGGGAGAGAGCAGGATAAGCTGTTCCTCCTTCAGCTGCAAGAACACATCATGTCAAGTTGTCATAACAAAGACATTTTGAATAATGTCAACTTTGTATTAAAAGTGTCATAATTTACCGAATTACGTTTTATGACAACAGTCATAAATATTCATGAAGGCTTATTCATGTTCATGACAGGTGTTATGTCATGTTTATGACAGTGTTATGACAGTCTTATTCAACCCCCTTCAAATAAAGTGTCACCAATTTTTTTACCAAAGTTGAGAGCGAGGCCTGTTATAAAGATATACAATACATGTAGATGAAGTC